GTGCTCAGTGGTGCTACACTGTAAAACTTTATTATAGAATTGAGATGATTGCCCACATAAGGTAACTAAACGAAATTGAAGTGAGGTTGAACAATAATTGAAGAATCTCATGCATTTATCCTTGATTCTAATTTATGTAAATTTGTCCAGTGGAAATCATCTAGACCTACTAATAGTATGTGTGGTTTTATAGTAAATAGTGGTATCTAAAATTGCTCTACTGTCATTTAAAATGAAATCCACTATATCACATTGTATGTATATTATATCATAATTCATTATCTGTTCAGTTCAGCAGATAACTGGATGAAATTTTGCTATTATATGTAACCTGTAATTAGGTCTTCTTTGTTGCATTTTGATGTGACTATGGTAGTTCTCCACATAAAAATGTATAGCATATTGAACTTTTATTTGAGTTTACATGTTCATGTCTGGAGTTTACATTATTTTTGTTTATATGGACTATTCCTAGACTTGCTGTCGAAATTTTTCTATTGTTTACAATTTCTCGCAATTCCACTATATTAGCTTACCAAATATTGACTTGAATTGCATTTGTCTCACAAGTAATGTAAATTATTATTCATATATTATTGTTAAAAATTGTTCATGTATTATTGTATATTACTGTTTCTTAAATGACATGCAGACATTTCTCTGTCACAATATTTACAGTTACCCTTTATATGTTACTAGTACTTTATGAAAATAGGTACGGTATATTGGCTCTTATTCTCCTGAATTTATTTTTAGTTCTGGCCTATAGAATTAAACAACTTATGCTGTAGGTTGAAGGCGTCTATTACCTTATGTTGATATAAATTGCTGAATCCTATTATCTGTGTTAAACCAAACTTGGATTAATATCTCAAATTATCATTATTGTATATGTTGATATGAATTGCTGCATTCTATTTTCTGTGTTAAACCAAACTTGCATTTATATTATTAATCCAATCTATAGGAGTTATATCTCAAATCTTCTTTAATGTATATGTTGATATAAATTGCTGAATCCTATTTTTTCTGTGTTTAAACTTGCATTTATGTCCCAAATCAAGATTATTGTATATGTTGATATGAATTGCTGCATTCTATTTTCTATGTTAAACCAAACTTGCATTTATATTATTTAATCCAATTTAAAGGATTTATATCTCAAATCTTTATTATTGTATATGATGATATGAATTGCTGCGTTCTATTTTCTATGTTAAACCAAACTTGCATTTATATTATTCTAAAGGATTTTTTATCTCAAATCATTATTATTGTATATGTTGATATGAATTGCTGCATCCAATGTTCTGTGTTCAAACTTGCATTTATATGTCTTAAATCATTATTATTGTATATACTGATGAAAATGCTACATTGAGTCCATACCAAACTGGGACATTTGCCCCTATATGTGGGCAATATGGATTATAAAAATTGATAAGGGACAGAACAATAATGAAAAATCTCTCACAACTATTCATATTCTGGAATATGATATTTTGTATAGTAGAGATCATTTAGACTTTGTATTATTCCAAGTGTATATAATTAGAGATGTCACCTAACATTGTACTTCTGTCATTCAAATTGAAATTCATGATTACAAATTGTATGACTATTATATCATATTTTCTTATCTGATCGAACGGGTTCTAGGTATATTAATATATATATTATGTATAGTATATTGCAGCTTATACTCTTCTTTGAGCATACATGTCTTGAGTACTTCCTGTATATATTATACAACTCGTTCGGGCCTACTGTGGTTCTAGGCATCATTGAATAATTTCCTCCTGGTCTTATAATCCATCATTATAGCAGTGGAGTACTACCAACTCAATAGTACATCCTGTTAAAATGTGAAAATTTTTCGTATCTCTAGACTTGTTAAATCATAGTGTCCATTATAAATCAACTATTTACTCAATCATAAAAAAAAAATTATATTTCAATTATTTAACATTGAAATAAATCCTCTAACACATTTGGCAATGTTAAGTGTTTAGGTTGAATTGCTCTACATTTGACCCTTTGACTTGATATATTAATCTAGTACCATTCCCTAGAAATCATTCATTTACTATTCATGTACAACTCGCCAATGATGCTTTTTATATTCATATTTTGTGATAATGAAATTACGATACTGCATTATATTTTGCTGTTACATCAACTCATACTATTATAATTTTTACATTTTTATTTATCTTTCACTTGTCTTTTTATATACTACTTTGACATCCCTCTGCAACAAAAAATTGTTGATTATTATGCTGAAATAATGCTTGTTAGGTCCTATTAACTATTTTTTAATCTAGACAAATCAAAGCAGATCATGTTTGTTACATCTTCAATGCGTACCTATGCCATGAAATGAAGCATTTCTGCTAATTCATCACATATGCGTGTAAATTATTTAAATTCCTTCAGTAACCTTTGGAATCTCTTCAGATTTTGAAATCCCGCTCCACATAAATAAATAAAAATGATTTACTCTAGCATTCCCCTCCCCAATTTTATTCTTCCATTTTCAGAATATAATTTTAAATTCTAGAATGTTCCTCCCCAATATTTTAGTCATCTGAAACTGTGGATCTTAAACATAATAGCTTGAAGGGGGGAGTTGACTTTGATGACCGTCTGGTCATATCACTCCCTAATTTATTTCTTATTGTTATTTTTATTATTATTACGATGACTGTTATTTTTGGTTGACGAAAAAAATTAAATCTCTCTCTCTCTCTCTCTCTCTCTAGGGTCTTCCCACTCAATTGATTGTTCCTCTATTTTGTTTTGTAATCTGCATTCTATCAGTCCTATAGTCAGGTATATCGTGTAATATTCCATGTGCACAACTAACTTGAATATTTATAAGTCACTCACTTAATCTTGACGCGAGACAGCGCCGTCAACACAGGAGGTCGCACGATGGTTTCCGAAGCAATAATAATCTGTCAGCGCCAAGTCAAGCGTATCGGCGAATTCAACATCGGGTGAAATTTCCAGAGTTACACGGAGTTGGCTTAACAGCGAGCAATTTGATAGGCGACACTGTCGAGTACCGGTACGGTACTTCAATGGTTATAAGAAGAGAGATAGTCACTAATGTATTTATCTTTCATATTTTTTTTAAACATACCATACGATAGCGATCTAATGGCATTAGGTAAAACATTCCAGAGCTTTACACCCATATATTTGATTGACTTCTGTGTTCTGCTTGACGAGTATCTTGGGAGTTTTGTATTTGATTTTACTGGCTTCTTCATTGTCCTGTTGTATTGTTATTATTATGTGTCTGTGTGTTACTATATGTCTCACGTAAAACGCAGAATTCAAAATACATTTATGAAACGAAAACATATTATGACTGAATAATTAATTCACATTTTTATTCAAAATTACCTTACCTAATAATTGAGTTTTGTAGTGGAACCACCAGGTGGCCGCGGTATATAGAAAAAAGGGAATTCCAGCACGAGACGAAGAAAGCCAAGCTGTAATCTGGCGCTCATTGGTCTCTTCAGTCAGGGTTGGTTACGAGTCTGGCATTCTGGAGGATTGTATTCGAGATTAAAAATTATGTTGGCAGTTTTCGTCGGCCTTGCCAGCTATAAAACTTAAACAAGATATAATGAATGATACCGTAACGATGTTATTCTTGAAGAATAGGGAGTACATCACCGTGTTCCTTAACAGGCGATAGCAAACAAAACTGACAAGATTTAGTTAAAGGTAGTCTACGGTGGTATCGTAACATTCCAACACCAGAACACTGTCAAATTATAGCTTACCGTAAAAACGGAATCAAAATAGTCTCCTACTTCTGTACTTTATTTAACGTCAAGCCCAATTCCAATCAAGTGATGCCACAGTTTTATATTTGCAATGAATCTCTCAACGTACAGATGTACGGCACCGGTACCGCACACGATTTTACAGATTCTAGGATTCGCGATACCGGTACGACTTGACATTCAGTTTTGCCATTGTTATTTTTGAATGAAAATTTAGAGAATTGGCATAAGTGGAATATTAAGCCCGTGGCAATGCATATATGACTCTATCTGTCTATAGCCCGATAGCGAACACACATAATGTACATTTTTTTAAGCCTTTGTAACAAGAATTTTTTTGAAACATTTTATTATATACCGTACGTAAGAGGTATTACCGGTACCGTACTGTATTAAGGTTCTTAACTTCTTACTTCTGTAGCCTAGGGTGGCTTACTCACTTTGCGGCCATTAACTCAATCGATCTAATTCATGCTGAAAAAATTAACAAGTTGCGACGATATTTCTCACGCATTATCGTCCACTCATAGCTCTGCAAAATTACACTGAAATAAGGCCACAAACAAAAAAGTTACGACCGAAAACCCTACCGAAGAAAAAAATGGACCATTTTTTCATGTCGCCAACTACCCATTGTCCCATTAGAAAAACTTGGAAATCCATATAAATATAAGAGATAAAAAGATGAAACTTGGCAATGGGGTAGAGTTGTGTTTCTTTTAACCATCTTTAAATTTTCGCGTTTCTACATTTAAAGGAAGGGGAATATGGGGGGTGCGCATTTCCAATACATCGATAATATCTTTGTCGACCAATTTGCGATCACCGTGTTTTTGTCTGTTTGATTGCTGTGATGTGGTGCTTTGTATATAATTTGACGAGTTTTGTTCGAAATGAACATGTTCTTAAAATACATGACGGTCATACACGATGTTCAATGCTCGAAATCTGCAGTCGCACACTGGTCGTTCACTCGCAAATATGTCTTCTGAATTTCGTACCTTGGTGGTTTGTATAGCTTTAACCCATGGTTGTAAAAAGTTAATTCGAGTTGTAACGTGTAGAATAAATGCCAATGCACATACGGTGAAAAAATTCAACGGTTAGAAATATTGGTTTTTATTTTATAGCGGTTCGAATGAAATCGTCCGCAGACTGGCTGCACCACCCGAGATGTTAAATGAAAATGTTTTTCAATAACCTTTTGTGCTTTCAGTGTATATATATTTTACTGCTTTTGATAAATTAGTGACCTCAAAATATCCACCATGGCAAATGAAGGTGATGAAGTTGGAAAGATTTTTGTCGGAGGACTGACCAGGGAAACGACCGATGATATGCTTAGAAGTTATTTCGCTGCATATGGTGAAATCAATGAGTCTGAGAGTATTGTAATGAGGGACAAATTAACCCAAGTCTCTCGTGGATTTGGATTTGTTAAATTTAATGAACAAAGTTCGGTTGCTGAAGTTTTGAAGAACAGGCCACACATGTTAGATAATAAGAAAATTGACCCAAAACCATGTACTCCAAAAAGCATACAACAGCAAAAGAAAAATGCTGCAATGGAGCATACTTCAACTCACAAAATATTTGTTGGTGGAATCGCACAGAACACTACAGAAGAAGATGTGAAAACTTATTTTGAACAATATGGGACTGTCAATGAAGTTATATTTGTAATCAACAATGAAGAAAAACGACATAAGGGTTTTGGTTTTGTTACATTTGAAGATGAATCTGCTTTCAACCAAGCAGTTGATAAGCATTTCCATGAAATATGTGGGAAAAGAGTAGAAGCAAGAAAGGCCGTACCAAGAGAAAAACAAGGCGGTGGTCGTGGTGGCATGGGAAGACCAGATGGTAGTGATGGCTATGAAGGTTTATACACATATGGATATGCGAATCAAGGTCAAGGAGGTTTCATGCCACCGCAGGGAAACGGAATGATGGAATATGGATATCAGGGATATGGTACCACTTATCCTCAAGGATTTGGCCAAATGGGCCAACAGAGCTATTATGGATATAATTATAATCCAGCAATGGGTGGCTATGGTGGAATGGGACAGATGGGAAAAACTGACAATGGGAGCGGTGCATATGGTGGTATGGGTGGTAATTATCAGCAGCAATCATCTGGCTATGGTCCAGCTAGTAGGGGTGGTGGGAATCAGGCGTATGGAGGTAGTTCTGGTGGGGCAGAGTATGGGAATGGATATGGAAGAAGTGGTGGAGATACTGGAGGAAAAAGTTCCGGGCAAGGATATCATCCATACAAAAGATAATCATTGAATGAAGAAGATTTTATAACTTGCTCTGTCACTCAGAGGCTGTGTTATCACGGCTGACCTTTTATATAAAAAAATGGAAAAGATAATATCCCCTTCCCTAATTTGGATAATGTAAAAAGCAATAAAAATACTTCCCATCGACCAGAAAATCCATTTTGTACTTTCGTGTAGCATTTAATGTGTTTAAATTACAATTTCTGCTGATTTTTGAGTACATTTCATGATTAAACCTAAGTTAGATTAGACTATGCTGTAAATTACTACTAAGACACTTTTAAATAGAATAGTTTAGTTTGCAGTATACTTATTACTAAGTTTATTTAGTCTTAGATATAGAACTGAAGCCTAGAAATAAGTACTTTTCAATTATGAATTCTAAAAAAGACTGCATTTAGTGAGCAGTCCTGGCTTGATATGCTATTCACATGTTAAATCAGTAAATTTTGATAGTTTTTACATGATTTCCAGTCATTGTGTCCATGAGCATACTCTGCAAACACACACAAATTATTAATTAGCTTTTAACTTCTTGTAAAAATTATGATACGCTCAGGTGCATGTTTTTAAATATTATCATTTGCGCAAAACGAGTTCAACCTGTTTTTACCATGAATCCCAGTTCACTTCACATATCTACTACTATTTCTATCCTCATTTTGAACGCTTGATTGTATCTAAACTAACATAATGAGCCCATTCCATAGGTAAGTTTTAGAGCTTGAGATGATAACAGATATTGTTCACTAGTAAAATTCTAACCTCCATTTGGTTTCGCAACAATATTCAATGCCTTCAAATTGTGAGATGAAGTTTAATCTATTTTGTTAGGCTCTTACTCTTACACATATCTTTCCGATAAGTTGTGCCTCTGGTTACTTCACAGACCTATTTATGAAATTCTGAGGGGCAATCTTATGTAATCTATATTTTCATGCTGTATTTTCTTCTTTATTAGACCATTGAAGCGACTTACGAGTCTCCCATGTTTTGCAAACGGAAGCTCGTCAGTTTCTCAGTCGTCCAATTCAAAAGAACCCTTGGCGATGCAGACATAAGTATAATTAGAGCTTAGAATTAGGCAAACAGTTATAGTCACAGTAAATATACAAAGTCCATTAATCTATAGCTATGAGAATTATGCTAATGCCTGGTAACTAGTTATTTACAAAGATAACTGTCTGGCATACATTCCTGTTTGCTTTAGGGCGTTCGCCTCCGGTGACACTGAGAATCGGAAGATTTGATTCATCTGTGGAACATCAGAATAAATCGGTGATGGTATCATTTTGGTAAGTATATAGGCCTCTGTGGTGCTGGTATTCAAGTATGAAGTATTTCCTCGAAATGGTACCTCGCTTCGTGACTTCTCTGCTTTTAAACTCCAGGCATATCTGTTATGCTAGAGTGCAGTATTTACATGAGTTTTATTTTATGGCAAGTATGTTGGCTCAGGGATAGCCATTTCCGAATACATTCTAAAATAATATTTTCGAATCTGGAATTCCGAATACATTCTAAAGTCTGACCTAACAAATTTTTGTTTTAATTTATTAAAACCCAGTAAAATAGGAAATAAACTTTAATAGAAATATCAGAATAAAGCCACAAATCAACAGTATATGTAAAGTAATTGATAGTTTATAGCTACCAATAAAAATAATAGCAACTTGTGACACAGTCAGTTTATTAAAATTGTACACTTAGTACAAATGACCACATGAAAAGATAGCCAAGAAGTTGTCCTACGCTTTCTATCATCGGTACCATGATATTACGATAATAGTCAAGTCTAATGACAAAAATACTACTTGTATTCAGATAGTTGTGTATACTTTCTGAGAGTAATAAAATTCATTGGCAATGGCAATTGAAGCAAGCAACAACAATCGAAGAATATTCGTTTTGCATTTACAAATTCTAATATTTAAGCCTAGAGTATTCTACTACCTACCAGTATATTAATTTATGTGAACCATATTGCTATTATGTGTAGCATATTGTTATGTCTGAAATTAGCAATAAGTTAGACTTAGAGGATGGATGACCACAACTGCCAGGCGCGCAGCCAGGATTTTCAAAATCGGAAATTCCCACTGCCGCCTGTAACAGCCACCGTGATTCCGCGCACGTTCCGATATTTCAGCGTATAATGATCATTCTGTCACGTAAAATATTCAATCCATGACAACTACGAGATTCTAAAATATCTTTATATATTAATTTTATGAGTCCAACTGTAACTCGCGGTTGCTTCTCCTTACGTCAAAATAAAAACATTACTATTCGGTCCACGGCGATCTGTGGCCTAAAAGTACGAGATAAACTGCTTGATGTATTTAATTTTAATACGTATTTTTGCAATCTTGGCAGCTCGTTAACGCCGTTAGAATAATCTCAATAACTGATATAAAGTCCTGTAGTGAATATACATATAAAGTTTGACAGTAAATTAAAAATACATATTCATCGCCGCGATTACTCAAAAAAAACGACTTTTACAACGAATAATATAACAACGAATATAATATATATTTTCCGGTTGTGCAAAGTGATGAATTCGTGACCGATACGGGCATATTTGAAATGTCTCGCTTTATTAATTTAATTGTTTTCAACTTAACCTGCGGTTGCGTCGACAAAATAAAATCCTCACCACTCTAATATAACATGGCAATCCGCGGACATAAAAATGTGTGGTGAACTGCCCGATTATATATTGTTTTGATCCGTATTTTGCGAATTCGGCAAATTTGAGATGTGTAACACTGACTCCGCTCTATCGAAATGCCGCCACTCCGATCATTTTTAAGATAAAACCGTTCAAAAAATCCATAAATCTGCCGTAAAATCTCAGAGTAAAATTTATTTTAGCACAATAACGATTGATCGAATATACTTTAGATTAATTATATTATCTGCATTCTCACAACCCGGGAAAAAGTCTCGTTTCAAACCTTGTAAAATGTTAACACGAAAATTGTCGACGGCAATTTAATTAAAGTAATGAATAATCAGGCAAATCCCGCCTTCCATTAGTGACGATATATTTCTAAACGCGGACCAAACATAATGTGTGCCAGAGGCAAACGAAATTTTGCGATTTTCACTGCTTAAAAAAACGTTTTTTAAACTGTCGCGGGCCTCAATAAAACATATATATATATATATTTTGTTTACGGTTTTATTTTCAGTATTTAAAATTGCCGCTTTTCAATCAAAAAATTTGCGTTTTCTTTAGAAACTCCCGCCGATGAACGTATTCACCGGATTCACAATTCCGTGCGAGTACAAAAATAAAATATTTGTCATCGCTATCATGGAACAAATTTGTGGAAAATTTGCGTTTTAGAGAAAATAACACAAACGTAAAGGCGTTTACGGCCTAAATTAACACGCCACGCTGATGAAAGCAATCGCGCGCAAGTTTCTATCAAGAATGTTCTCATTCAACGAAACGTCTTGAAAGAGGCGTCGAAAATGTGTGACGTCACAAAAATATCCGATATTCTTATGAACGCTAATTCCGATATTCGAATGTCGAGATATTCGGATACTTTATTCGAATTGGCCAGTATAGATTTTCATCCTCACCTGTGCGATGTAATTGGTAACTTCCAGGTTCCTGGAGTTCTTGGTCTATAATTCGCGTTTGTTTACAATACCATGACCTAGTGTCCGTTGTTTCGGTACTAATCAATTTTGGGGAGAATTTGATCTCTATTGGAAAGACTTCACTGGGTGTGTGAATAGGCATGGGTAGGGTAACGAAGACAGCCGTTACCAGTTATGGTCAGTAACTCAGTCTGATAGTTCCAATGCATGGGCTACGCGGCCGTGACGGACAGAAAATATTGAAATACGGTCCTGTTCCTTAATCTTTATTGGTGGTTAGGCTAGTAGAATTTGCTCTTTAGGTGCGAAAAGTTAAGTTTTAATTACCATAGCTCCTATCATTAACTTTGCGTGGTAGTGATATTTTGATCAGTGTATGCATGGAATAGCCATTAGGCCCTCTTCCTGTCATCGCGTCCGAGGTCGAATAGGTTCGATAAAATAATACTTATCCCAGAATCCTAACATCCTGGTGAATAATTCATTTCTAAAGTGAAACTTCATGCCACGCAATCTAAAGGAATATTCTCTTACCAATAATGCAACTAAAATAATGGATTATTGAGTACAAGACGCGATCGCAGATCTTTCGCACCAGTGTGTCATCCTGTTCAAAGTACATTGTACCGATATTTCGGCTATTTGTTAACCTGAGTTTGGTCGAACCTCTGGGATTTGGTGAAAGTCCTCCGAAATTTTGACATGATATTTAAGTAGCGTACATTCTGCTCCTTTAAGTACTAAACCCACTGTAGAATAATGCAGGAGAATTGATGTTGACGATTCCACATCTTCGTTGTTGTTTGTCTGGTCTAAATTATAAATAAGCAGACCTAGGCAATTAGCGCATCGCGCAGAATCTATGGTTCCCAAACTTTTTTCTCTCTATGCGCATTTAAAAAAAAAAAAATTGTTCGGCGCACTTCGTACATTTGAAACATGAATGTAAAACATTTTAAACTTTGATATATATATATCAAAAATTACTATACTGCACCAAATTCTGTATTTAAACATAAAAAATGATCGGTCACATTACCAGGGGCAGGGATGGCCATTTCCGAATACTAAACTATTTCGAATACATTCTAAAATAATGTTTTCGATCTGGAATTCCGAATACATTCTAAAATCGAAAATAACACATTTTTGTTTTAGTTTATTAAAACCCAGTAAATTAGGAAATAAGCTTCAATAGAAATATCCGAATAAAGCCACAAACCAACAGTATATGTACACAAAGTAATTGATAGTTTATAGCTATCAATAAAAAATAAAAGCAACTTGTGACACAGTAAGTTTATTAAAATTATTCACTTTGTACAAATGACCATATGAAAAGATAGGAGTTGTCTGACGCTTTCTATCATTGGTACCCTGATATTACGATAATAGTCAAGTCTATTGACAAAAATACTACTTGTATTCAGATAAGTGTGTATATTTTCTGTGAGTAATCAAATTTATTGGCAATACAGGCAACTGAAACAAGCAACAACAATCGAAAATCCATTATGCCTTTAAAAATTCTAATATTTAAGCTTAGAGTATTCTACTACCTACCAGTATATTTGTATATTAATTTATGTGAACCATATTATTAATATGTGTAACATATTGTTGTGTTTAAAAT